TCAGTTATGCTGTGAGAAGAGTATAAGAAGGGGCTTTGGGGGATGGGGGAGGGAGGCTTTTGTTGAGTGAAGAATACTGTGAGTGATTGGGAGAGCCGGCGATCTCTCGAAGAACCGACCAACTGTTAATGTTCTTCTTTTCTTCTGAATGAACACCAGTTCCTTTGTTGATGTTCTAGTTGTGTGAATTCTGCTGTGAGTCTGAGAATTGTGTGTCAAGTTCCTTTGTTGATGTTCTTGTTTCTCACTCAAGCACCATTTCAAACCTTGATCATATGGTAAGACTGATGCTGTTTCAATGATTCAAATTGTTCTATTGAATATTTTTATTGGATGCTGATGCATCTATCTTCATAATACATGAAGCATTGCACTTCAGCACATTTACATTGACTTAAATGGAGAAATTGGAGTTTTCTAGTAGAACCATGGTTCCCCATTGCTTGTGAGGGGCAGCTTATTGCACTTTGGTTTGTGTTTCTTCTTTGTTCGGTTCTCTTATATTGATTTCATACTTTGTGATCCTTGGCTATGTACTCTTACCTTCTCTTAAATTCTTTCTCATTGATCTAAACAGAGAAAAAGGGAAAAAGTCGAACAACCAATAATCACCTTTTTTTTGCTTGAAACCTTGTAATTTCAAGTGTCTTGAGTGCCATTATTCATGTTTACTGGCCCTAAGAAAAACAAAGAGTGGAAAAGAAAATAATTAGGGGCTTTTCATGGGAGCTGGGGATTCCAAAAAACGATCACCTAAGAAATTGGGAACAATCTAATATGCCAAGGTATAGATATAATGTGGATGTTGAGAACAAGATACTATTCTCCATTTCTTAAGATCTTGAACATAGATACGAGTACTTGTATCCCATTTAATATGGTAATATGTGCTTATCTATTTTGTTTTTGAGGAAATATTATTGGTATGTTTCATTGTTCATCCTCTTTTAAATTAAAGAAAAAAATCATTAAAGGACATGGATACGAGTATTTACCCATCAAGCGCTTGGCACCTCTTTCTTCACTACTTCCTACTTGTTCTAATACCTCCCCCTTCTCAAACTCCAGAGTCAAGCCCTCCTCTTCTCTTTTCCTTTATACCATTTGTAGTTTTCAAGGCACCAAGGTGAGGCTGGGTGTTAGGGGTGCCTTGTCACCTAGCCCGCCTAGGCAACGCCTAGGCGATGGATTTTTTATATAGAAAACATAGATCCTAGGGTAGTTCCCTAGGTACCATAGCCATATTTCCTTAATAATTATTCATAGTTTTCATAAGAAAAGTATAGGATTCATGTTAAAGTATAGAAAATGTGTTGATTAGACAAAGTTTTAAGTTCTTCCTTATTTGTTGGTTCACGTTTTAAAGTCTTCGAGGGTTCAATACATCATTTAGCAATGTTTGTATTGATTAAATCCTAACAAATAAGAAAATAATAAAAACAAATTAGTATATAAACACACAAAATGAATATTTTAGTTTAATAGTGCCAATTTTATAATTATAATGTCAAAAAATAAAGAATAAAAAAGTATTTTACAATACATAGTACAAAACTGCTTGGCGATTAGGCGAGGCGAGCCTCAAAGGGTGCCTTGTCGCCTAGGCGTCGCCTTGACAACTATGACACCATTCTGGCATGTCACTGAAACTATATTTTGCAATTCTGCTAACTGTACCCGGTCTTTCTTCCACTCTGAAAAGTTTGACATTTAACACTCACCTTATTTCCAGCAATTGAAGTCTCAAAATACTTTGGCCTGGTTATGCTTTTTTCTTGTTTCTGAACATTCCTTCCTTTTAGCCTCCATTCCCTTGTCTCCTACTTGTAGTTTTAATAGTCTGGATCTGACATTCTATACTTTTCATTTTCTCTTCTAACTCCCTGAACATCTTTCTGGCAAATCTCTTCTCCAAAAAAGAATAGACCCAAACTGTTACCTCAATTTCTTTTTTGAAATCCCTGTCAATATCCACATGTTTATCAACTTATGCACTTCATCAAGCATTCCTCGTCTCAGCCAGACTCTTACCTAATTCCTCCATGGCTACACCTTTTGAATCCACTATATTCAATCCAAATCAATCATATTCTCTTCCCTAGGCTTTGTTCTTTGACTTTGGAGGAATGTCTTTCACAAATAAATCTCAAGATTTAGTCTCAGAATCTACATTCTCACAAGCATCTGAAGCCTTGTGCCAATCACTAAGCCATCCTTGCAATTGTTTTCCATAAACAAACATCCTTAAGCTTCTCTAACCTTCAATGGTCAATGAAGTTGCCTGCTGATTAGGCAGGAAATTCCTGAGTTTGTCCTTGCTGGTTGGCTTTTAATTTATGTTCATATATTTATTTATGTTTTGGTTTTGATTTCGTATGCAATAGTGTTGACTCTATTACCTCATTCCCCATGTATGGCAAGCTTCCTCCCCAACCCAAAGGATGGTGCTTTACGGTTTGTTCACCATTTGCCCTTTTGAAATGTCTGCAGATTATCAGGCTCGCAAGGAAGCTACCCACTGGTGATGTAAGTGTTCTCAAAGCCGAAACAACCAAGGAAGAAGAAGAGCCTCTGGATGAAAATGACCTCACTTAAATTTGTCGAACTAAAAAAGCTCTACGAATATACTTTCGTACAGGTCTTACCTTTTCAATACGTTGTAATACGGGGGGGTTTGTATGTTGCAAGATATTGAAACGAGAAAGTGTGTTTTGTGTAAACTACTATATTGCCCATTAATAATTACAGCTGTTGCGTCATATTGAAAAAAAAATTATGTAGATTATTCACATATAAACCATTCATATACAAGTTAATAAACAGTAAACCAATGATGGGTTCTATTTCTGATGCCAACATTGGCAACTCAGCAGTCTATTGGTTGGATAGTAAGTAACTACCCGAGAGCGTCTGCAAAATGTAGAACTTGTTCTGTAAGTAGAAGTTAATAGGGAGCACTGATAGTCGACCCGGAAATGAAACCGCTTTGACCACCGGTTTCTAGGTCAGACGTTCGACTGTTGGTCCAAATGGATGGTTCATTTGAAATTTAAAAAATTAAAACAAAATAAAAACAAAAACAGCCAAAAACTATTCTGGGTCAAATGGGTCAATGGTTCAACCATCAAGGTCAGTGAGTTGTTGATCAAGTCAACATTTTTGGCAAAGGGTTGTGTTAGCGGTGACGAAACCGGTGCCCTGGATGGTTTTTGAGCCAAATGGTCCAATCAACCGAATCAGTGACAGTTGGAAAACCATGTTTTTATGTTTGTTTCCCTCATCAAAATTCATGGGGTGGTTTCGATTGATCAAGGGGTCAAATTAGGTGTTTAGTGGGGATCTGGACTCAGTAGATAGCTTCCGGACTTCCCTTTAGGGATGTTCAAATTTGGTTGTTAAAACTGAAAACCGAACTGAACCAAACTGAATAAGCAAATTCGGTTCAGTTTTCCGTTTGGTTTTTGTTTTTAAAAAAAAATCGGTTTTCGATTTTAGTTTGGTTTGGTTGAGATTTTCAACCGAACCAAAAGCTGAATTAATTTTCATTTAGTGAAGTATATTAAATATTTAATGTGATATATTTAATACTATATACTAATTAATTATTATATTTTCTAATGATCAATTTGGCAATTTCCCATTAGGCTTTAATTGTTTGTGAATAACTTTTAATTAATTAATGTTAATTAAGAAGCTAGACTAATCACTAATTGTTCATTAATTATTAATTGTTTTTGAAAAATACCTAATTCGCCAATTCCCCATTTGCATAAGGCTTTGGGCATAACTTCTAATTAATAATAGCTAATCAATTAAAACCATTGAGTTTTAGGGCATTCTAACTTTTAATGGGTTTTAGGGCCATTTTAACTTTTAATTAATAACACTTATTAATTATAAATTATTTATTAATTATTGATCAATGTTTGTCATTTATGTGGAATTAGGGCCCAACCAAACCGAAAACTGGATCAAACCAAATCGAATTCAGTTAGGGTTGGTTTGGTTCTGAACTCTAATTCGGTTCGATTCAGTTGGAAAGAATGGTCAAACCGAATAATTGATTAGGTTATCGGTTTTAATCAAACTGAACTGTACCGACCGGACGATTGTACATCCCTACTTCCTTTTTTTTTCTAATTCTAATTAATAATTGTGAAGTACACTGACAATTCGTACTGAGTGCTCATTGTGAGATGTCCGGATCAGGCAGTACACACAAGAGCATACTGAGTAATCACTCAAAAAATTGACACCTGTCCCTTAAAAATACCTCCACAGTTTACCCTGGATAACAATGCCGTGCCTACAATACCATTTCGTCATCAAATTGATTGGTGAACTTTGTTTGGTCGACTTTCTCAATTTCCTACCGCCTAATTGAATGGAGGCTGCCTTGACCACCAACCATGATTCAAGGAAGATCCAACAGTTAAGCATCCAAATTTTGCATACAATGGCTGGATACAACCTATTAAATTTATACTTGGTTGATCCGTATCCAATTAGAGAAGTAAAAGGAGTATTGGGAAAGGCAATTTTAAGAATTGCTTTTGGTTGCACATGGATACGTTCTGTAAATTCAATAAATTTCAAAAACGCATTAATGATTCTAAAACTAATTCTTAAATGACTATAAATAAGGTAAATATACATAACAACCATATACTTGAATGGTTTTAATGAAAAATTATTTTTTAATTAGCATAAAAGGAATATACAAATATTATCCAATAAGACTACAACTTTACAAATGCATGATATTCACATCTCAATTGATTGAAACATTAAAAATGTTAAATTCATTATTATCAAGAATTAAAACATACCTTCAGCTTTGACTTGAATCATTTGCAATGAAGCCATGACCCTGTGAATTGATGACTGCGATAGTGGCAATCATTAAATTACGTAAAATAATAAATAATATATAATCATAAAAAATTAAAATATTGCTTTTCAATGCATCTATAATTGATTCTAAGTTATTGATGTAGACGCATTCGGTTGGCCTGTATAAGGCTGATGCGTGTCAAATCGAAGGGCGTTAGGTTCGCCAATTGAGGATGATCAGGTTTATTCGACATGGACCAGGCGGACCCAATCGCAGGGTGCCCCGTGGCTCTGGCAGAACATCTCGCCAGGTCCTCGTGCGGCTCGCATCTGGACCATTCGAGGAGCAATTCGCCTCGGCCTCAGCTCATCTCCTCTGGATCCTCAAAGCCTTTGGCCTTCCTTCGAAGCTTGGGAGCGAATTTACTTTGTTGCCCTTGGCCAAACCGAGCATCAACAATTGGCACCGTTTGTGGGAACGTTGCTAAGACGATTCCCCCAAAACACTACAAACTCAAGTTCTCCTAAAGCTTCAGACACCATGGTATGAAGAGCTAGGAACCCCCTGAACTTGGTCACAAAATAAATAGTTTCAGGTGGTCCTTGACCGTTGCTGACATGCCCAGGATTGACTATTCGGTCATCACTCACAGGCTGAGCGTGGACCTGAGCTCTAGGCTAGTTTAGCAAAAAAAGAGGAACTTTGCACTGGAGCATTGGATGCCATAAGAGAGGAAGTTGGAAAGCTACTCGACGTCAGCTTCATCCGAGAGGTATACTACCCTAATTGCTTGTCGAATGTGGTTTTGGTAAAGAAAGCTAATGGTAAATGGCATATATCTAGAATGATTTCATAGACCTTAACCGAGCCTGTCCTAAGGACAATTTTCCTTTCCCGAGGATAAACCACCTCATCGACACCACTGCAAGGTACGAGCTACTCAGCTTCATGGATGCCTTCTCCAGATACAACCAAATAAAGATGCACCCAGAGGACGAGCAAAAGACCTCATTCATCACCGAGCACGACACTTATTGCTACAAAGTAATGCCCTTTGGCCTAAAAAATGCAGGGCCACCTACCAATGCCTCATCAACAAGGTGTTTAAAAATCAGATGGGGAGGAACGTCGACGCTTACATGGATGATATAGTGGTGAAGAGCCTGAAAGCCAAGATGCACACCTCAGAACTAGCTGAGACCTTTGACATCTTGCAGAAGTTCAACATGAAGCTTAATCCCAGCAAGTGTGCCTTCGGCGTCACCTCAGACAAGTATTTAGGCTTCGTCATTACTCAAAGAGGCATTGAGGCCAATCCTGACAAGATACAAGCCATACTGGACATGGCACCCCCTCGGTTGGTGAAGGAAACTCAGAGAGTCACCGGCTGGAAAGCTGCTCTCAACCATTTCATGTCGAAGTCAATGAACTACTGCCTTCCCTTCTTCTGCGACATCAAAGCACAAGCACTAGCAGACTTTGTAGCAGAATGCACCTTCAACTAAGCCCTTTGTCGAGCCCCCGAAAATGCAAAGGGGACTCATCCTAAATGAAAACACTTTTTTGATGGTTCATCCAATGCCAAAGGAAGCAGAGCGGGTCTCGTCCTTCTCACCCCAGATAATGTAGTCATAGAGTATGTGCTAAGGTTCGACTTCCTGGCATCCAACAATGAAGTCGAGTACGAGGCCCTCCTCGCTAGATTACAGCTTTCCAGGGACCTCAGCTTCCTACACGTCAAAGCCTTTGGCGACTCACAACTGGTGGTGAACCAAGTCAACGGCGAGTACGAGGCCAAAGAACAGATAATGTCCAAGTACCTCACCAAAGTTCAAGAGCTAGCCCGCCACTTACAGCGCTTCTCCCTGTAGCAAGTCCCGCGAGCTGAGAACACAAGAGTCGATGCCCTTTCTAAGTTGGCTAGCACCTCGGATGTAGCCCTCAGTTGCACTCTCTGTGTGGAGAAGCTACCTCGGCCCTCTATAGAAGAAGCCCAAGTACTTCTAGTAGAGGCCGAGCCATCATGGATAGACCCCATGACCGACTTCCTACTAACAGAACAACTGCCCGATGACAGTGTTAGACAGTTTTGTATGCCCTTAGCTTCAATCATTTTGATGCACTTTTGTTATTTAGTGGAAATAAATAAAGTACATGTTTGATTCATGTTGTTTGGTTTAATTCTGTGTAAAACCCTAAAAC